CTCCCCGACGACTCTCGCGTCGCTTCGATATGCAACTGGGGTCCCTGCGCTACTCTATCCGACGTTCGAGCGTTCCTCGGAACCATCGGCGTCGTTCGTATCTTCATCCGTAATTTCGCTCACCGCGCCGACGCGCTCGTACGCCTCACGAGGAAGGACATCGAGTTCGAGTTCGGTCTGGAGCAAATCGCGGCGCAGGAAGACCTCAAGGACGTGCTACTCTCATCCCCCGCGCTCCGAGCAATTAATTATGATTCCCCCTCTCCCGTCATTCTCGCAGTCGACACGTCGTTCATCGCCGTTGGATATCACCTCTGCCAGTGCGACGAAGACAACACGCGAGTCCGTTACTACAGCAGGTTCAGCTCGATCACACTCAACGATCGCGAGCGAAGGTTTTCGCAGCCGAAGCTCGAGATCTACGGCCTATTCCGCGCGCTACGATCCCTTCGACTCTACCTGATCGGTGTTCGGAACCTCATCGTCGAAGTCGATGCTCGGTACATCAAGGGTATGCTGAAGAATCCGGACATCGCCCCAAGCGCGAGTATCAACCGGTGGATCGTCTCGATTCTCACATTCCATTTCACGCTGGTCCACGTCCCCGGTACAATGCACGGCCCCGACGGTCTCTCTCGACGCACAGCTCAACCCGGCGATGTCATCGAAGACGAGGTTGACAAAGAGTTCGACGATTGGATCGACCAGATGCATTCCTTCGTTCACCAGATTCAGCCCCTCCCGTCCGTCCAGATGCGTGCCATCTTCACCAATGCCCGAGCCGAGGACGGCTCAGATTTGAATAGGGAGGAGGATAGCTACGACCTAGTGCCTCGATCGGAGCAAGCGCAACTCGCAGACGCAAAGCTCGACGACGTGCTCGAATTTCATCGAACGTTAGCAAAGCCCGACGGCATCTCCGAAAGTGTTTACGAAGGATTCATCAAGTACTGCATGCAATTCTTCCTCGACAACGACACCCTCTGGCGCAAGGACAGTCACGGAGCACACAAGCTAGTCGTCAAGCCCGGCGATCGCCTTTGAATACTTCGAGAATGCCACGACCGCACCGCGCATCGAGGAATCTACGCAACCCGAGCCTTCGTCAATGAGCGATTCTGGTGGCCGTTCCACTACGCCGACATCACCTGGTTCGTTCGATCGTGCCATATCTGCCAGTCTCGACAAGTGCGTCAAATCCTCATTCCTCCGACCGTCGCAGTACCAGCCCCCATCTTCGCGAAAATTCCCATCGACACAATGCACATGC